ACACAGCACTCTCGGCCCCATCGGGGCGAGAGTCTCGAAACAACCCCTGCAACTGTCGCCCAAGGTGCAGAACACTATGCCGAGTGACAGACATTGTTGTGTCTGTGCTAGCCAGTACCAAAATTGCACTAGCTGTAATTGTGCGAGAAACAACCGACCATGTGTGGCTTGCAGAAAGGGAAACAATTGCCGCAACCCTTATAGCCCTCATGGCAGTGAGCCGACACAGGAGGCCACAGTGGATATCGCCGGGACCCAGCCGCCCGATGATATCCTAAACTACTACTACTACTACTACTACTACTACTACTACTACTACTACTACTACTACTACTACTACTACTACTTGAGAAAATGTATCCTAGGTGTTCAGCAATATCAACCATGCACTCTAAAATACAAGAGTCAAAACAAATAATCAACCTTAAAAATAATTAACTGGATACCCTTACACTGACCTTGAAAGGACACTGTAAGTGGTTCACCTACTGTAGCAGTTTTGTCGGCCCATCTGGAGGAGTTCCTTAAGACGTAACTGGTGAGGTTACCGCCAGAGGGCAGCTCAAAACCTGGATACTGTGATGTGACGTGGTGGGCTGGCCAGGTGGTGCTGATAGGCCTGACTCCAGCCCCACATGACCTGAAGGATAGACGAGGTTACTTCTCCACATGACCTGAAGGATAGACGAGGTTACTTCCCCACATGACCTAAAGGATAGACGAGGTTACTGCCCCACATGACATGAAGGATAGACGAGGTTACTGCTCCACATGACCTGAAGGATAGACGAGGTTACTGCTCCACATGACCTGAAGGATAGACGAGGTTACTGCCCCACTTGACCTGAGGTTATTGGAGACCTAATTTCTGTTCTCTCTCCAACGTCTCCTCCTTGTGTCTGTCTGTGTGGCCTTTATTCGGGTGGGTGGTTAGTGTGTATAGATGCTACGGACACATTGATTACCGTGAACACTGACTGCAGGACCCTGTTAATCTCTGTAACTCCTGCCAGTACTGTCTCAACCAGCAGGGTACTGATAAAGCTGGAAAACTAGTAGTAGTAGTAGTTATAGTAGTTGATCAAGGCAGCTTCACTCCTCTAGTGTTCACAACCTCTGGAGGGATGGGCCCAAGTGCAAGATGTTTCTACGCCAGACTCGCGGAGGTGATCTCCGAACAGAAGCAGCAGCCCAGAAGTTATGTTACAGCCTGGATGAGATGTCGACTGTCTTTCTCTCTCCTTCGGTCGGCTTTGCTCTGCCTCAGGGGAGCGAGAGCTTCGTCCCCAATGCCGACAACAGCTGCAGATATTGACTATGAGGTTACAGTCACTGAATGCCGCATAGATCTGCGGCTCAACTTATTCAACACAGATAGGATAGCTACTTATGTATTAGGATATTTAGTATTAAGGTAATAAAATGGCGGCGAAGGTGTGGCTATTGGGGGAGGCTGGAGGCCACGTTTAAAAAAAATTAATCTTAGTAGTAGTAATAGTCATAATAGTAGTCATAGTAGAAGTAATCGTAGTAGTAGTAGTATTAGTAGTCACCTACTATGACAACCATTATGACTCATAATGGTTGTCATAGTAGAAGTAATCGTAGTAGTAGTACGGACAAAGCTTGAATTAAAATCCGAACTAAAAAAAAATCCACTCAGTTTCAGATTTTAACTACACAGCACACTTCGAGCTTACACTTGGGATAATTTATTACCCCTTTGGGGACAGTCACCGTCTCGAATCATGAAGCTAACTTTCCTGACATCGCTGCCACCGTACTAATGAGTTTTCAGACTAATGTTGCAATCAAAATATGTGCAGCCATGCGATAACAACGTGTAAGAATTAAGGTCAGCAGTTAAGTGGTTGGGTAGCTTAGGTTTATATTTTATTCCTTTTTTGTGACAGCTTCACTGGAATATGAAAATCACAGCATAATTCGACGAGCTTTGGCGCCGGTGACCATAAAAACTCACTTTAATTAACTGTCCGTGTATAATTAGGGAGAAGTCACTAATAAAACGGTAAACACATAGAATATATGAGTAATAAAATAAGGTGTATGGTAGTTATGAGCCTGGGTGGCTAAGCTGTTGAGGAGGACGTGATATAAACCTCTAAGTATAGTACCCGGGTATGAAGTAAGTTTAGGGGTTTGTAGCAGCGAGAACTTGTTCAAAAATAATTAATTTAATCGAAAGTTTCATTATCCAATTCCATATATTTTGAATAAAAATGAAGTAAAATTAATTTTATCACAAATCTTAATTTACTTAGAAATTCCTTAGATTTTTAACTTTCTTGAAAAATTCTTTTAGTGAACCTTATTTCCATAGATAATGGAAATTCCCTTAACAATTGAAACACTTGTGTGAATAAAGGCGGCGTCACACTGGGCATTTTCCTCCCAACATGTTGCCCGTTATGCTGGCCGCTGGCCTGGCAGCCCAGCAAGCAGCAGGATTTCGGCTGTTGCGAGAAATGGACAATGGCTTGACGGTGAGCTTTACTGGCCGGATTAGTGCTCAAACGATCTTCAAATTAGGTGTTGAATATTCAATTAAAATTTTAAGTAAATCATGAAACAATACTAATATAAAATATAACACACAAAACGGTGACATATTTCTATTTATTCGCCACTTTAAAAGTGCTTTAGTATTATTAAATAATTATTCAGGGTCTTCTTTGACCATCCAGCCGCCGCCACATTTTAAGAAACTTCACGACGCCTCACTTGTCTTTTCTTTAATTTTTGCAGACGCCTCACTTGCTTCAGCAGTTGAGGAACTATATCACAATCCTCTGCAAGGCCTCAACTGTAGTAACGGGATCCATGGTGAACCTCGTCTAGACTCTTTGTTGTTGTTTTCGTTTGCCAAACAATTTGGGAGGAAAAGTGCCCAGTGTGCCGCCACTTTAAGCTCAGCTGTTAGGTGCCGACTCACATATTGCATTCATTACGAATTTCGCCGAGATTCATTACAGGGCCTCGTTATATAAACATTCCACAAATCATCACATTGAAATATTTGTTTTAATATTGTTTTACTTTGATTCCCGAGTATGTTTACGATTGCGAATTTACATCTGTCGAATGTAAACAAACACAACGCTGCCACACTGCACATAACCTGCCGAGCACCTGTAAACGCACTAGTGAAGGGGACTGTATATTTCTAATGTACAAGTATAGACTACTATGAAACTTCAAATAAAATAACAAGTAATTAAAAATTGGTATTTGAGTACTAAGTGCGAGTAAGTACTTGGATCCACGCCTGCTACACAGAGTTTTCTCATTATTCGTCTCTATTTATTTTACCCAAGAGGATCATTAGGCATACTCAAGATCTCACCTGATATAAACGATTGAAATGAAAATACCAAGTGTCCTTTGTGGACAATAATTGAACAGAAATAGATACCTCACCCCATCATCTTAACCCTTGCTTCACTTTTAAACCTGGACTGATGTGTGTTTGTTTCACACACACACACACACACACACACACACACACACACACACATTTACTCTGATAAAATAAGGTTCAGTGATTATTTAGTCTCGCCTTTTCAACTAAGTTTCTTAAAACTGACCCCGGTAATGCGGCTACATTTAAGGGAGCAGTTAACCTCCATGGAAGTTATGCAAATCAACTGGCACTTGCGAAATAAGCGTTGTTATATACCTCCTGGGTGAGAATCGGCGGCCACGATCTTGCTGGGAATGATAATATTTATCTTCATTCATCTCTCACAGTAGCTGCCTTCCCTTGGTCCTCTTACCTTCAGTTTTATCCATATATAACCCCATTCCTCATCCCCATTTAGACGACCAAATGCTCCTAGATTCTAAGATAATGGCAAATTATGTAAGAAAATATTGTTATAAGAGCATTAGAGCGGATTAACTGACAGACGACTCAATGACTGACCTACAGGGCTGCATCACATACACTAATTATTATAATATCCAACCTTGTGATGAAGGGTCGTAGCGTCACCGACACACCTCGTCCTGCTGCTCTCACTCTGAAGATCATCACCTAACCTGCGGGGCACAACAGTCAACGTGAAACTAAATCAACGAGGGTTTATTGTTCGCTTCATGATGCCGTCTTATATGAACACTTTCAGTACAGTTTTGGTAATTCTATGCTCCTTTTGTTCTCCATTCTCTTCCAGTGGGATATACCGTCTATGGTTATAAATTAGACAAATTTTGATTGAGGCAAGATAGGTTAACATTGGTCAGGAAATAGAGTAGTGGATGAATGGAACAAGTTACCAAACATCATCATTAACTCGAAAGCTCTGAATAGATTCAAACATAGATAGGATGGATATATGAGCAATAGGGGTTGGGTGTAAACGGGACTGTTTGGATAATATTTTCGTCTGTCAGTGTGGGTTACCTTCTCCTGTATAGTTATTTGGGTTTCTGCGTATCGTATACACAACAAATAATTTTTCTTGTTTTACTAGTTATAATTATAAAATCTACATAGGCCCATACACAGAAAATCAATCAGTGGGTCTTTTAACTTTAAATAAAGGGATAAACACATTGCTATTAAAAATAAAAACAACAAAATTAAACTCATACGCACAGAAATGAACACTTCTGTGATGCGTCATAATAGCCCGCCGGACTAATATGAATAAATACAACAGTTTTTCTAATCAAGAAAATAAAAGAACTACTGTATTAAAATAATTCCATTAACTGTTTTCGTTTTCAGGCTAGTTCTCGATCTTGTCTTTATTACGTTGTTCAGCTCTATTCATCCGGTTCCAAAACTTATAAATTACCTGAAACCACAACAAAACACGGCCTGATGCTCTTTGGGGCCTACCAGCAGTGACAACCGCCATAATACAACTTATCCATACTGTGAAATAAGTCTAAGTCTACATTACATTACTGAAAAGTCTAAAAACAACAACAATATTATCAAGGACTGATAACACCTATGGATGACGGACCAACTGGAGAATATATTTACCCTATTTGTTTTCATTTGATTTTTAAGTGATAAAATAAATCGTCATAAATATTAAGTGCTTCATAAAAATATATAGATATCTACGCACAGTGTCTCTTGACTCACCAAACATATAGTGAAACATCACCTAGTTCCCTGACTACGACGATGACTCCTACCATTTAAGTAAAGACAGTCAAGATAATACACTGCCAGTTCAAAAGACGCGCCACTTGCACCAGGAAGGCAGACTAGACACTGATAGTGATCGGTAACAAATCTCCACTAGGGTGACTGCAACACCGAATGTGCGCGTTAGAGCGACAGTGGGGGAGAGAGGGGGCTGTGGACACCTCAGAGGTCCAGGACCCGTTTCGTCAATTTATATTTGTTTCTCAGCAAGTGAACAAGTGAGATGAGATTTAACAACTGAGAATTAATATTTAGATAGATTTCCCTTTTACATATAATTGAGTAAATTGTACTTGAACGTGGCCCATTTTGTGCCAAAATTTACTCTTTTTTTTTTCAAAATATACAAAAAATTCCATAGGCGTACCATGTACAGTATTAGAAAAATGTAAAAAATTTACCAAAGTGGCACTAATGTACCTTTTATTTGAAGACACGGGGTTTCTGGGTTGGTGTTCTCAGGAAACCCTGCCTACACAAGTTGCAATCAGTTGCGAGAGTGTATACACTCGTGTGCAACCATTACACATCACTACGCAACGCCCGTTCTTTTGGTTGTTGCTGTATCTCTAGAAGTATATAAGATACATAGTTATGATAACGACTGATCGATAGTTCTATGTACAGAATACAATTATGTCCGTTGGAAAATTTTTGTTTTTATGGGCCACAACAGCTCTTAAAAGTGGTCAGGTTAGGTTAACATCGCCCAAATAAAGCGCACACAGTCAGATTAAGTACAGTTGGCGCCACTCATGTGTTTACTAATTAGCCTTCCCAATCCTCTCCCTGGAGTGTGAACCCTGAACGTTGAAGTGTGAATTCGATGCAAACGCTAGTGAGCGGGAGGGAGAGGCAGGGGGGTGTGTCAGTAACGGGGGAGTGGCAGGGGTGTGTCAGTAACGGGGAGAGGCAGGGGGTGTGTCAGTAACTGGCGAGAGGCAGGGGGTGTGTCAGTAACGGGGAGAGGCAGGGGTGTGTTAGTAACGGGGGAGGCAGGGGTGTGTCAGTAACGGGGGAGGCAGGCAGGGGGGAGAGGGGGTGTCAGTAACGGGGGAGAGTCAGTAACGTCTCATAATTATTACACTATACAGTATATTTAGTTCTGTCAACACCCCCCAATATTTGTTCTCTCTATTCATTGCCTTATTTACTGAGAATTGACGTCTTTTGCTACTGTATTTAGAAACCAAAGGAAGGCTATAGGTAGAAGGATAAATCATGGCGAAATTTACCTCCAGGATTATTATAAGGTATTGGCGGGTAGGGTTAAAACCGAGATAAGGAAAGCCAAGAGGAATAATGAGGTAAGGATAGCAAGGGAGGCGAAGACAAACCCCAAAGGTTTCTACCAAATGTATCAAACTAAAACATGAGAAAAGATTGGACCAATACGGTCAGATACCGGCGAGCTCACTGACAACGACGGAGAAATGAGCAATAATTTGAATAAATATTTTTCAACAGTTTTCGCCACCGAAAATGTAAACATGATACCCGAGGCACCGACTCTATTCAGAGATAGTGAAGAAAACAAATTAAGCAAGATAGTAGTGACTAGGAACGATGTTAATAAGCAAATAGATAAACTGAAGCCTAATAAGTCACCTGGTCCTGATGAGATATTTGCCAGAGTATTAAAGGAATGTAAGGAAGAGCTTAGTATGCCCTTAGCAAAGTTGTTTAACATGTCCTTAAATATAGGTGTAGTACCAGAATCCTGGAGGATAGCGAATGTAATACCGATTTTCAAGAAGGGGGATAGATCACTATCCTCTAACTACTGCCCAATCAGCCTAACATCAATAGTAGGCAAATTACTTGAATCAATCATTTCAGACTCTATTCGAAACCACCTGGAGAAGCACAAGTTGATCAATGATTCCCAACATGGCTTCACAAGCGGGCATTCATGTCTAACTAATCTATTAACATTCTTTTCATCAGTTTTCGAATCGGTGGACGAAGGGCACAATTATGATGTGGTATATCTCGACTTTAGCAAAGCCTTCGACAGAGTGCCCCATGAAAGACTAATTAGAAAGGTAGAAGCACATGGCATCAAAGGTAATATCCTTAAATGGATTAGGGCGTGGTTACAGGACAGGAAACAGCGAGTGAGGATTAATGGCAATAAGTCCCATTGGAGCAACGTCACTAGTGGAGTTCCCCAGGACTCAGTACTTGGACCATTATTATTTATTATATACATAAACGACATAGATATCGGCATAGACAGCAACATAAGTAAATTTGCTGATGACACAAAAATAGGACGTGTTATTAAATCTGACGAGGACTCCGCAAAACTACAGGAATATCTAAAAAAAAATTTTGAATGGTCTGAAAAATGGCAGATGAAATTCAACATGGACAAATGTAAAGTATACTCAGTATAGGGGATGTAAACAGGGAAACCAGATACCAGGTGAACAACGATGCCATAGAGAAATCCGACTGCGAGAGAGATTTAGGGGTAATGATAAGTAGGAACCTTAAGCCAAGTAAACATTGTGTTTTTGCTCGTAACAAGGCTAATAATAATAAAGTACTTGGGTTCATACAAAGGAGTGTTAGTTACAAGACTAGCGAGGTCATCCTAAAACTGTATCTTGCGCTTGTGAGACCACACCTGGATTACTCAGTTCAGTTCTGGTCACCGTATTACAGAATGGATATAGAATCCTTGGAAAGAATCCAGAGGAGAATGACAAGATTAATCCCAGGCATTAGGATCCTTGAGTATAGAGACAGGTTAAAGCATTTTAATTTACACTCCCTCGAGAGACGTAGAGCGAGGGGCGACCTGATAGAGGTGTATAAATGGAAGTCAGGGCTAAACAAAGGGGATATTACAAAGGTACTCAAACTATCCAACCAGGAGCGAACTCGTAACAATGGTTTTAAATTAGACAAATTTAGATTTAGGCGCGAAATAAGGTAAACACTGGTTTGGAAACAGAGTAGTGGATGAATGGAACAAGTTACCAAATATCATCATTAACTCGAATACGCTGAATAGCTTCAAACATAGGTTGGATGCTTATATGAGCAATAGGGACTGCCCAGTATGGGCCAATAGGCCCGCTGCAGTTTCCTCCATTCTTTTGTTCTTATGTTCTTATCAGACTTACCCTTGTATTTTTTTTTTAGGGAGGTAGGGAGGTTCTTATCTGATAAAGTGTTTGGCTAACACACCACCACTGATATTCGCCTTCCATAGCGAGGCGCATTATTCACACACACAGTAAGTAGTAATGGTTGCCCCTCGTCTAAGGCGTGAATTTGTGTCGCCACCACAACAACCACACCCTGAATTAACGAGCTGCATGGCCCAGTGTCAAGGAATAGTCCGAGAAGGCCGGGCAACTTACTGGCTAACCATTAACCCGTAATACGAGCCAGGTTCTCAATTACTGCTGGGTAGACAGACGCAAATGGCGTAAAGAAACTTTCTCAAAGTTTTACCCTGCCCGAGGATCGAATTCAGGTCCACTCGCTTGCGAGCTGACTCACAGGTTGCCACACATCCGCCCTGCATGTTTCTCCCACTATTGCACCATACACAGTTGACATCATGTCGGTGGAATTTTTAGCGTATCCACAGCAACACTTATTGTTATTAGTACTCACGTTAATGAAGTCCACGTAAACAATGTCTTCGGTGTAAATGGGAGAGGTATTCTAACAGGAGGTAAAATCACTGCGGGAGAGAAGAGGGAAGGAGGGGCGCGGGTTGTGTGCGGGTTCTCCCGCTATCTGAATGTAACTGAAGTTGGATTCACTGCACCTTGCTCCGGCTACAGCAAGGCGGCAGTGTTGCTCCCTGGCTCACTCTTTGTTTGTCATATGCAATTCTGGGCACACAAACATCCTGTCTATATGGGTGGCAGCCACCACCAGGGTTGGGAGAGCTTGTGTGTGTACGTAATTGATTTTTATAAAGTTTATTAATATACTGTTTCCTGTAGTGAAGAGTTGGTGTGACCTGGAAAATTATCTTTATTCACATTTTCCTTAAACTTCATCAAATGTTTCTGGTACAGTATTTTTAACTTACCATTGGGGAAACTGGTAGGGACTTAAGCGAACGAATTTATGAACGTAGGAAAGATGGTGGTGTGCGTTGCCATGTTAGCCACACAACGTTAACTAGTATAAACCAAGGTCAATATAAGGAGGTCGGTCAGACAGCGGTCTATTTTTGCTCGCTCTGGGCAGTGGTCATGGAACTACAGCAGGCTGGCTCGCTCCCTCCACTAGTCTGTCTATCTTTACAGCATCATCATAACCCCGTTTCCTATATCCTGGTATGGGGAAGTTTAGCTCGGAAAGATGGAGCTATAGAAAGAGAGGCAATCTAAAGGGGTGTCATAAAGGGTCTGGCCCCTTCTTTGTGGAGGGAAAGACAGCTGACATTATTTGAATATTTTTACTAATTTCCTGAAATTCCTACGATTATTTCAGTGCAATTTATCTGTGCACCTGAGTTCATAACTGTCTGTTCTGAAATGTTTCTGTATGTATCTAAAAGGGGAATAAAAGTATCATGATAACTTATATTTTATTTATTCATAAGGTTATAAATAAATAACATATCATTTACTTCAACTGTAACCCAAGGCAATCGGTTTTTCCTACTCTCAGTTTGATATTTTTAAAAAATTTCTATTTTCACTTCTGCAATTCTTATTTTTCTTATTTATCCTCATACTACTGTTCAGTTTAAAGAACACACATATTTTGGCCAAGAAGGATAAAACATCATAGGGTACATCAACTCTCTATCTCAGACACAATTGTTTTGAAACAGTCCTTCCTCCTTAAGACTGTCCCCATGTACAGCCTTAAATACGTCTCTCATAATGGTTAATAGTGTCAGAAGGAACATATAGTTCACCTCTGTTTATTTCTTCTGTCCATGTTTTGGTCATGATGTGCACTCACTGACTTTCTGGCCTAAGTGAGGTGTATTTCACACAAAACCTTCTTACAATATAGCCACCAACGTACCTAAGAGCTTCCTCTTCTATGACTAAGTCTATTGCTTTACCGTCATTATTGTCAGGGTTTATATACACTATCCCAGGCTTTCATCAAACTCATCGCTTAACTCTTTTTCTACTTCATTGCCAATATCCAAGTCTTTGAAACATTGATTAGTTATATAGAGTTCTACTGCCAGGTCTTTGTCATTGAAAGGTGTACCTTTATCATTTGTTTAAGACAAATATTTCGTGGTATAATCAAAATAAAGCGATGTTTTTAGTTTAACAAATTTATTGGCAGAGCTTGTAGTACAGTTTGCCTATTCCGAGTAATTCAGTCAGGTCTTGACACTGAGGGTGGTATCACTTCTCACTGTCACGCAGGACAGAGGTTCACACACAAAGAAATACATCATATTCATTAACAACTATAAATGTATATAGGTCAGGTTCATATGGATAATGTCACTGTTCACTGCCATGCAGGACAGAGGTTCGTACACAAAGAGTTGCATCATATTCATTGACAGTACATATACATATATGTAAACACACACACACACACATATACATACATATACGTATATACATACACATATACATGTACACGTACATATACATGCACACACGCACACATACATACATATACGTCGGTCAGATTCATGTGGGTAATGTCACTTTTCACTGCCATACAGGACAGAGGTTCGTACACAAAGAATGCATCATATTCATTGACACTATATATAGGTCAGATTCATGTGGGTAATGCCACTGTTCACTGCCACGCAGGACAGAGGTTCGTACACAAAGAAGGAAATACATCACATTCACCAGCAGCATATATGGGTCAGTGGATCACATACATTGGAGTCATATTCTAATTGAAGACTAATCAGTGTGGGCTAGCAAATTTGGGATAAACAGCCAGATGACATCAGCCACATTAGTTCTGTACCCATTTTCTTTTGGCTGGTGGTAATTCTCCTTTAACACAATTACGAGTTAAAAAATGATAGTACAACCTAACTGGCTCAAGGGGGGGGGGGGGCCGAGGAGATCCGAAGATTACCCCCCCCCCTTCCGTGTTGATGACGTCACTAAGCGTCAAGGTCGCGGGGCAGGTGCAGTAGTTGACTCACGCAAGCATGACCATGTTTTCCTATTGTATACTGTAATTGCTTTTGTGCTTCGTCTTACGTAGGATACATGGGGGTAAAACTGAAAATCTGAACTTAGAGTCGATTATGGTGTGTGTGTGTGTGTGTGTGTGTGTGTGTGTGTGTGTGTGTGTGTGTGTGTGTGTGTGTGTGAGACCGAGTCAATTCTGATTTAAACATGGCCTTCACCTGGATAATAAGAAGACTTCTGATATGAAACACTATAACCAACCTTCCTTCATTACTGTTACGCTAATATTCGAAAGTGTTGGCGGGCTGTGATAAATGATGCTCCACTTTATAAGAGAAAACGGGACGCTGGAGAGGACTGACAACGCTATCACTGTTAAATGGGGCTCTTTCAGTCTCACTATAATCATTCATCCACGGTAATTACTCGTTCCAGCACATGACCTGGACTTTGACATGAATTTTTTTTCTGGTGTATTTTACTGATGTTTTGTTCGATTCTGACCTTCAGTTATTGTGCAAATGATATGTTATAGATATATGGGCTCACAACCTAACCTAATGCCGTGTTCCTCATCCCCCAGACCGCCCTGTGAGGATATCTGAAGGCCGGGTAATATTGTAAGTGCTATAATTTCAACGTAGTATTCTTTTTCGGTATAATAAATTAATCTACAGTATATGTAAGGACGATGTTGCAAATAAATATGATACAGATTATAAAGGATTAGCGTCAGTCCAAACTTAACCTAACCTAACCTAACCTAACCTAACCTAACCATATTTTACCTAAGATAATGAATGACGTTGTAAACATTAGCACGCCATTCACTATTTCCATCACCCAAAGGAACAAAGTCATCTGAGCTGTAAATATATCAAGTTTCATGTATTTGTGATAAATTGTCTTAATCACTTCTTCAGTAATGAGTAACTTCTTTCTGTCACTCCGAAATAATGTTGCCTCAAGTTTCACCGTACTCTCTCTCTCTCTCTCTCTCTCTCTCTCTCTCTCCTAACCTAACCCATGCACCTCATTGCTAACTTAACCTAACCCATACACCCCATACTAAGCCTAACTTAACCTAACCCATACACCCCATACTAAGCCTAACTTAACCTGACCTGACCTGACCTAACCCATGTAGCCCATTCCTAATCTCGTTCATCTAAACATCAACATAAGCAGCGAAAAAAAAAATCAGCAATGGGCATAATGGCCGGACATCCTCCCATTAAGAGAGGAATTTCCGCTCAAATGTATTTTAGTTGTGGTTCATCCCATAATTACAGTGTGCTGGGGGTCACTCATTAAAATTTCCATAGCTTGACGAGTGTACCATGAATAAAATATGTGTGTATCTATATATAAATTCAACTTATAATTTTATGTTATGAAATATTTGTCATAAACCGAGGCAAACTACAGGTAAATGGTACAACAAATACACACTATGCTGTTATATGCAAATCGGTGCGTGATATCTATAAAAATGGAGGAACAACGCCAGTCTGAATTTGTGGCAATTTTACCGTCATTCCAAAAATATCTGACTCGACAATGTGCGTCATTAACGAGTATATGTAATATTTATCACAATATGCAAAATATTTCGAAACTCATTGAGAACGGAAAAACATTTGGATTAAAATTTTAAATTATTCCCCGCAAATTAATATATAAATGTGGTAAACCTTTTAAAAGGATACGTTTAATTTAATCTACAGTACGTGAGTTTGATGGTCCTGTGTATGTGTCTAGTTGTTGTTAGTCCTTCTGGTCCTGTAATATAGTTTTATAGTACTTGTCCATCAATCTTTACCATCACTCCCAACCTGACTTCAATGATGTACAATACAACAGTTTGGGCTACTGATGCCTCCCACCCTAGACACACCTGTGCAATTAACTAGTGCTGGCGGACATACAATGTAATGTTAATGTAGTCTCCCCTTCCCTCCACCGCCCCCCTCCTAGAACTACCCCTATAGGGAGCATCACCCCACATGCCTTGTTTGCTGGCAGTTGGACCAAAGTTGCTGGAGCAGTATGTGTGGATATGATACGTAGATACACTAGCCGGATAAAATAACACAATTACATTGCTATGAAATTTTTAGAATATAATTTGGCTCATCAGAGGAGATAATGAAAAGGAAAATTAAGAGAGAGAGAGAGAGAGAGAGAGAGAGAGAGAGAGAGAGAGAGAGAGAGAGCATGGGATGAAAACTTTATCTCACGCGGGTAAGAATGAAGGTCTCCCGTTAGGTACAAAAAAGAATGACAGGGCCGCAATTATTACATTCCAACGCTGCTCTCAAAAGATTGCCAAGTTAGGTAATAATCTCCAGGAAGAGCAGACCCTCTCGGCTCATACTGGCAGCCAACTTCACCAATATAATGTTGTTCTTTGTGTGGTGGCTGGCCCTTCAGGAAGCCGCTAAGAAGGGTATCCAGTTCTTTATTGAGGAAGTAGACAGTTTCCAGAAAGCAGGAAAAAACATTAATAACCTCCAGTGATTAATATCTTTTCCTACTGTTTCCTCCACCAAAATGTAATGTTAGAGGAGGTATCGTGTGGCAGAGGCGTTTAGTGAGGTGAAACTGGAGATATTATAATTCCGGTAGTTGCTGTGGACGACGAGGAAGTGATAAGAGGGAAGAGAAGTAAGGTAT